GGGGGGCCGGGGACACGCAGCACTTACATTGTCGTTCTGGAAGGAGTGCAGGAAGTTCCCTCCTAGCTCACCGTCGTCCCGAGGGGTGCCTGGAGGGTTGCTAATGCCACTTATGTTGTTCGGAGAATTCTGGAGGGAGCAGAGAGGAGGTGAGCCCCAGCGCCCCAGCAACCGTCCCACCCGACGGGGAGACAAGTTTTCTGGGGCCTCGGGGCTGGGGCAGGGTGGATGCTGTCGGGGAGGAAACCGAATACACACTCACTTTTGGAAGTCCATCTATGTCACCTGACCCTGGAAGGAAAGAAGGCTCAGATTCAGTTTCCTGTTTGCTCTTCCGTGGAGAGGCCTCCAAACCCACCCAAATCCCACACTACTTCTGTGCAGAGTCTCCCGTCCTGGCTGGATCTCTGGGGATCTTCCTCAGGGCCCAGCCAAGGTCAGTGGGAGCGGGGAGGGCGGACCAGGCCTGGCTGAGCCGAAGACGGCCGCTGGGGCAGGGTCTGGTGCAGTGTGACCACGGGGCCGGCGCCCGCTTACCTAACGATCCGTTCATGTGGTGCGGCTCCATGCCGCCCATGCCTCCCATCGGGCCGTCTGAGCCTGGACCCATCGGGAACTGGGGGAGAAGCACAGGGCGTGGTGGCTGAGTGGGCCCCAGGCCCTTTGCAGCTCTCTCCTGGGCTCCCACACCCAGCTGCAAAAGAGCTGTGCCCTCAGGGGGCTTCCGTTCTGGCACGCCCCTCGGCTGGAGCTGGCCCCTCTCCTGGGCCCCCAGAGTTGTGCAGGGCAGAGGAGCTCCGCCCTACGCACCAAATGAGGACACAAACCCAGAGAAGGAAAGACACTGGGCCGGGGCCACACAGTGTCGCACCGGGACAGCTCTCTAACCAAGTGGCATGGACTTGGGCTCTCTCTGTCCCTAGGGTGGACTGTGTGGCTCCCCAGTCAGAACCTCGCACAGACACACACACACAAATGGATGACTGCCTGTGCCCGGCCAGGGGCCCAAAGTATTAATGCTTCTCCTCCCCATTTTACAGATAAGGAAACTGAAGCACAGAGAGAGTGGGAAATGCTCTGCCGGAGGCACCCCCGTCCCCCGGAGCTGGGAGGAGCTGGGAGGAGCTGGGACCGGGGCACGGCCTCTGAGTGCTGCCTCAGAGATGAAGGAGTTCCAAGGGGGAGGTGAGGAGATGGGGTCTACTGGGTGCCTGGGGGGGGGAGGGGAGAAGCTGGGCAGGGGACAGCGTGGAGGGAGGCCACTGAGGACATCCCCATGCCGAAGTGGTGGTGCAGGCTGGTAAGAGGCCAGAGGCAAATCTGCTCCAGCCCCACCAGCCTCAGGCCTGTGGGGAACTATCAGACCATCTCAGAAAAGCAGCAGCGAAACGTCACATGGTCACGAAGGGAGGGCTGAGCCCCATCCAGAGAGCTAAGGCCCTGTGATGCAGACCGGACGTCAGGGTGGACAGGGGTGGACTGCGTGGCATCTGGTCCGTGCTGAGGGCTAGGGACAGAGAGCCGAGTCATGGCTGGGCCTCAGCCCAGAAGAGGAGCCCACAGCTACGGACACCCAACTACCCCACGGGACAGACGTGCGGCGTTCCAAAGGGAGCTGCAGACAAGGCAGGGCCGAGGCTTCAGGAAGAGGCACTGGGGAGAGGGCAGAGAAATCCAAACAGGCTGCACAGAGGAGGAGGCAGAGGACCAAAATAACTGAGGGGTAGACTTGGGCAGGCAGAGACAGGTCGTGGAAGCCATTCTAAGTAGGGGTCCCGCACGAGCACAGGAAGAGGCAGGTGGCAGCGGGGAGTGCAGGAGAAGAGACCAGGGTGCCCAGGCTGCAGGGCGGGGCTGGGGCGCAGGCGCTCCCTCTCGCCCATCTGCCCAAACACGGACACCCCAGCCACAGCCTCCTCGCCTCCTGCCGCCCCAGAGGCTTGCCAGGGCCACGCACAGGCACCGGGGCACATTTTTGACATCTGGCAACAAATTTCACACTTCTTAATCCAAATGAGAGGACGAGGGTGACTGACGTTTTAGGGAGTCAACTGAGGACACAACCCCATCAGACAAAACAGTCCCCAAGCGTGATAAGGTCATGAACATATGACTCTAACATATTTAAAAAGATTTGAAATTATGTATCATGGTGGTTTTTTGTGTATTATTATTATTGTTATTTTATTTTATTTATTTATTTATTTTTTTTTTTTAAAGATTTTATTTATTCACTTGAGACAGAGAGAATGAGAGACAGAGAGCATGAGAGGGAGGAGGGTCAGAGGGAGAAGCAGGCTCCTCGCCGAGCAGGGAGCCCGACGTGGGACTCGATCCCGGGACTCCAGGATCATGACCTGAGCCGAAGGCAGTCGCTTAACCAACTGAGCCACCCAGGCGCCCCTATTATTGTTATTTTAAATAGGCTCCATGCCCAGCATAGAGCCCACCACGGGGCTTGAATTCATGACCCTGAGATCAAGACCGGAGCCGAGATTAAGAGTCAGATACTTAACCGACTGAGCCACCCGGGCGCCCCTCTTGCGTACTGTTTTTAACAGCTTTACTGAGATATGATTCACATACCATACAATTGGCCCATTTCAAGTGTACAATTCCGTGGTTTCTCGTGCATTTAGAGTTGTGCAACCACCACCACCATCCATTTTAGAAGCTTGTCATCACCCCCACGAAGAAGCCCTGTACTCCTTAGCAGTCCCTCCCCATTCCCCCTCAAACCCCCAGCCCCAGACGACCATTAACTTGTTTCCTGCCTCTGGGGATTTGCCTGTTCTGGGCATTTTGTATAAACGGAATCCTCTATGAGCTTTCGTGGCTGGCTCCCTTCACTCAGCCTGTCTGCAAGGCTCCCCAGCGCTGGGGCACCGAAGAGGACTTCATGCCTTCTCTGGCCAAACCCGCTCCGGCGTACGCAGACTGCACGTCCTCTACCCCTTCAGCCGGGGGACACGAGGTTGTTCCCACTTTCCAGCCATCACGAGGTGGACACGCGCTTTGTTTCTCGTGCGGAGAGACCGATCCCAGAGTGGGAGCGCCGAGGCACGCGGGGACCCTGCATAGCCTTCCGAGGACCTGCCAGACGGTTCTCCACGGCAGCTGCGCCCTTCTTGGTTCCCACCTCGGGAGCGTGCAGAGCTGAGCTCACTGCGGCTTTGTATTTCCCCGGTGACAACGAGGCGGGGCGTCCTTCTGTGTGCTTGTTGGCTACCAGTGCGTCTCTGGAGAAATGCCTGTCCCGACCCCTGGCCCATTTTGTAAACTAGGCTGTTTTTTCATGACTGAGTTTTAAGAGTTCTTTGCATATTTTGGATTCGAGTCCCGTATCAGGTATGTGATTTGCATACGTTCTCTGCACTCTGTGGACTGTGTTTTTACCTTCTGGAAGGCGTCCCTTTGAAGCGCAGAAGTTTTCAGTCTTGATCAAGTCCCATTTACCTGCTTTTTGCTTTTGTCGCCTGTGCTTCCAGGGTCACCGGGGAGAAGGCTTTGCTTCTGGCCATGCCCCGGAGATGCACCCTGTTGCCCTCCTTCAGCGCCGCCGGGCAGATGGACTGTGCGCGCCGGAGTCTGGGTGTCCTTGTGAACCGCACTCCGACCTCACACACCTGCTGTCCCTGCACCGCTCCTTTATTCTGTGTTAGTGACCTTGTTACACACATGCTATTATCTCAAAAAAGCCAGAGTAAGGCTAGTTAACGGGACCAGTGAACAGAGGACTAGTTAAATGAACAGTCTGTGTGAGAAAAACATAACATTTTTATAATGTTTCTGTCCTCTAATACAGTAATTTATTTGAGCTCTTTATTAGGTATTTATATTTTGTAGGCTATATTACTATGTAGTCTTAAACAAATATAAGTTTTTTTAAAAAAAGCTAAACGTGATGGACTGATTAAACAGATAGTACTTATGTTTGATTTTTAAAAATCACATTTCTTGGGCGCCTGGGTGGCTCAGTTGGTTAAGCGACTGCCTTCGGCTCAGGTCATGATCCTGGAGTCC